CCTCTGCCAGACTTAATTCTGAACTTTGCGAGTAACGCGACTAAGAAGATCTCGGAGTCTGTGGCCGAGACGGCGCAGAACATCAAGAAGACGGTGGAGGAGAGCAACATCGACGGCATCATCGACAAGGTAAGACTCATAATTCACTCTTAATAATCTATTCATAAACACATTCACACATATTTCAATTCATATGCTGTCACTGTCCCGGGTTTAATACGAGCAGAATGCTCTTTATGAAGTTATTTCACTTAAGGACTCATTTATGCCGGAAAAGGTTTTGGATGTTTTTTAATCGTATGTTAATTTAAAGGGATTTGTATAATATGATCAGGAGTGTGTTGATGACCTTCATCCAGTGCAGTGATTCTCTTTCAGACCATCCTGGGAGATTTCCAGAAGGAACAGGAGAAATTTGTGCAAGAGAAAAATGCAAAGAAAACAGGTATGACGTTACACAGGTGTGCTCGAAGATACGTCATTAGTTTATCATTATTAGTTCATGCTAACTACCCTATTGTAAAGTGTTTCTGAAATATGTGTGTGTGCACTTCTATATTTCATCATGTGTGTGTGTGTGTGTGCAGACGCAGCGATGCCGCCCTGGGTCGGATACACCGAGGAGGAGACCATCCAGCAGCAGATCCTGGCGTTATCCGCCGTGAGTTTCAGACCCGCATACACACTTAAAGGGAAAGTTCACCCAAACATGTCAACACAAATTAAGGTATTTGTGATTAAATCTGAGGGCTGTCTCATCGGCTTGGTAGAGACATTCAGATGGTAGAGTCGGATGACACATTCAGATGGCTGGTGGTGGTGGTGTGGGGATGTTTTCTTGGCACACTTTAGGCCCCTTAGTGCCAATCGGGCATCGTTTAAATGCCACGGCCTACCTGAGCATTGTTTCTGACCATGTCCATCCCTTTATGGCCACCATGTCCCCATCCTCTGATGGCTACTTCCAGCAGGATAATGCACCATGTCACAAAGCTGGAATCATTTCAAACTGGTTTTTTGAACATGTCAATGAGTTGACTGTAGTAAAATGGCCGCCACAGTCACCAGATCTCAACCCAATAGAGCATCTTTGGGATGTGGTGGAACGGGAGCTTCATCCCACAAATCTCCATCAACTGCAAGATGCGATCCGATCAATATGGGCCAACATCTCTAAAGAATGCTTTCAGCACCGTGTTGAATCAATGCCACGTAGAATTAAAGGAGTAGTTCACTTTAAAAAAAAACTTTTGCTGATAATTTACTCGCCCCCATGTCATCCAAGATGTCCATGTCTTTCTTTCTTCAGTCGAAAAGAAATGAAGGTTTTTGATGAAAACATTCCAGGATTTTCTCCATATAATGGACTTCAATGGGAACCAAACGGTTCAAGGTCCAAAAGACACTTTCAGTACAAACTGCAAACTGTTCAAAGGGGTTTATACGATTCCAGATGATGAATAAGGGTCTTATCAAGCGAAACGATCGCTCATTTAATAAATAGATAACAACGTTTAAGTTTAATAAGCTCAAATGGTCGCCTTGCTCTGTTCTGTGACGCACGTTTGTGTTCGAACTCGTTCATCAAAATGAACAAATCTTTTTCCAAGTCATTTGGTTCATTCAACGAACGAAACGAACGAATTGACTCGGCAAAAGATTTGTTCATTTTGATTTTGAGTTCGAACAGGAGAGTCACAAACGCGCATCACAGAACAGAGCAAGGCGAGCATTTGAGCTTATAAAACTTAAACTTTGTTATTTATTTTTTAAATGAGCGCTCGTTTCGCTTGATTAGACCCTTATTCATCGTCTGGGGTCGTTTAAAGCCCTTTGAACACTTTGCAGTTTGTATTGAAACTGTCTTTTGGACCTTGAACCGTCCATTATATGGAGAAAATCCTGGAATGTTTTCATCAAAAACCTTAATTTGTTTTCGACTGAAGAAAGAAAGACATGGACATCTGATGACATGGGGGTGAGTAAATTATCAGCATACGTTTTTTTGTTTTAAGTGAACTACTCCTTTAAGGCGAAAGGGGGTCAAACACAGTATTAGTGTGTGTTCCTAATAATCCTTCAGGTGAGTGTGTGTCATAACCCAGGATTTTCTTGATTTGTATGTTTTTTAAAATCTTGCTTCAGGACAAGAGGAACTTCTTGCGTGATCCTCCGGCTGGAGTGCAGTTTCACTTCGACTTCGATCAGATGTTCCCGGTCGCCCTCGTGATGCTGCAGGAGGACGAGCTGCTCAACCGGATGCGCTTCGACCTCGTCCCCAAACAGTGAGATCCGTCTCCCCTAAAGCGTTGCAGTCGCACAGCCAAACAAACCTGTGTACAAGCAAGACTTACGACTCAAATCCTGTCCTTTAACCACAATATGAACATTAAATGTACAAATATGAACCCCTCGTGATGCATTAATAACTGCGTAATCATGCAGATCTGTTAGGATGTGTTTTATTTGTTCGCATATAGTTACAAACGATATTCTGCTAAAAATGATTTAAACACATAAAACAGTCATAACTTAATATTTTTGCATCTGATCTGAACACAAACGTTAGCATGTTTGTACTGTGCTATTACTTCATTTTTCCACCTTTTTATTTGACAAATTGAGAAATACTTTGAAATTTTAAAAGTTACAAGATCAAAATCTAGGGATGCAAAAAAAAACATTTTTATATCATTTTTTTTAATGAGAAATATTATTTAAATTTTTTTTTTTTAAACATAATATGAGAATTACTATTGACTTCAGTGGATTTAATTAAACTCATGACTGATCAAAACAATATAAATGTATTAAAATAACACTTTTTTTTCTATTACAAAACAACATCAGTATTAAATTAATGTTTTTAAACAAAATATATAAATTTTCCTTGCATAAGCGCTAACTTTCAGTTGACAAAGAGCCTGAATATTCAGCTTTTCCTTTTCAAACCCTCTCTCCTTTTACATATTTAGACTATTTGGTCCATGATGTACAAACAATCATTAATTTGTCATTTTATTTTAATATCAGAATTATTGTGTGTGTGAACAAAATGCAGTCGCATGGGAAGGAAAAGAGTGTGTGGATGAGAGGATAAATAAACTATTTAAGACAAATCGAACCAATAGATGAACAAAAAACATCATAATTTCACGTGTAAAGCCGCAGTCACGGACTCTTTCGTTTAAATCGTCATTTTTTCTGTCTAAAAAATCTGAAATGTATGACTGATGTGTATTTTGACAGTCTTAATAGTCCAGGTGATATGTGAAAATTGTTCAGTTTTTCATAAAAGCATGACATTTTGGTACACATGTACAGTTTCTGATGTTGTATGTGGTATCATTGTAATCCTTGACCATCAAAACATAGGGCTCGACATCATCGTTTCTGTGTTAGCATGTTTCATTCAGGAGATTTGAAGCAAAATGCATAATTTGGTTATGGTGGAAAGTAAAATGGTCACCATGAGGCATTTTTGCGATGGCTCCATTTCTGAAAATTTTCAGTTTCATGAAAAACTTTTATGAAAAAATGAACATATCACCTCAAATCTTGCACATTTCCGCATGCATTAGGAGGATTAACTTCTTGTTTTCTGTCCCTGTGAGCTGGTTTCTAAGTGTGTGTGTGTGTGTGTGTGTGTGTTTCAGGGTGAAGGAGGACGTGTTCTGGAGGAATTACTTCTACCGGGTGTCTCTGATAAAGCAGTCGGCTCAGCTCACGGCTCTCGCGGCTCAGCAACAGGCGGAGGAGAAGAACTCAAGCGCTCCCCTCGACCAAACTCTCTCGGGTCATTAAAGCAACACACCTTTACACACACACACAGTGTTTCTGTCCTGTTTCCAGTCCAAATATCTAAAAATTCTTAAATCAAGATGCATTTACTAGATGAGTAAAATGATATAAGATATTACGAAAAAAAGCAAAATGATCTGCCAATGGAGAGAAAAATAATGTTTCTGTTCGAATTAAGATTATTTTTTTCACCAAATCGGCAGATAATTTAGCTTTTTTGAAGCATCAACTCACTTCATTTTGATTAATTCTCCAAAAAACAAGACTTTATATCTTTACTCATCTAGTAAATGCATCTTGATTTAAGAAATGTTGGATATTTGGACAGAAACACGGAGTAATAAAGCCCGTTGTGCAGTGTGTGTCTTTTTGAACATGGTTAAACGCACATTCATTGAGGAGTGAAACGTTTGTTTTCCTGCTTCACAGAGTCCATCAGACCGAAAACTCCTCCTGTCGCCATCAGCACCAAACCCAAGCCCGCCGAGGTACCGTCTTATTTTACCCAGAATGCATTTCAGTGTAGTCCTCCGTAAGATAGTGCTGTGTCTAAGCCGTAGTGGAAGTCTGTCTTTGTGTCTGTCTCTGCTTCCAGGAGGAGGAGGATATCTCCACCAGCCCCGGCGTGTCCGAGTTCGTGAGCGACGCGTTTGACGCCTGTGACATCAACCAGGAGGACCTGAGGAAGGAAATGGAGCAGCTGGTGTTGGACAAGAAGGACGGTGAGAGCTAAAGCAGCACTGTGTGTGTGTGTGTGTGTGTGTGTGTGTGTGAGTCCACACTGACCCAAGCCTTCAAATCATACTTTGGTTTTTCCTTAAAATTTTTTTTTTTTTCCAATTTTTGTTTAATTATTATTTAGAATTTTGGGGGGATTTTATGATAGTATGCAATATTTATACAATTTTATGAGTTATTTTCCACCATTCACTGCAAAAAAAATGCTTTTCTTAGTATTTCTGTCTTGTTTTCAGTCCAAATATCAAACATTTCTTGAATCAAGATGCATTTACTAGATTAGTAAGATATTATGTCCTGTTTCTGGGGAAATAAAATAAAATTAGAAATTGTTTTGTTTAAACAACATTTTTTTTCTAATATATTTTCTAGGGCTGTGCAAAAATTAATTATGATTAATCGCATCCAAAATAAAAGTCTGTGTTTACATAATATATTTGTGTGTGCTGTATATAATTATTTTGTATGTATAAATACACACACATGCATGTATATATTTAAGAAAATGTGTTATTCATGAATAAAATATTTATATTTATATAATATAGATTATGTATTTATTTATATATACAGAATTTAAGCGCAAATAATTCTTAAATATATACATGCATGCATAGGTATTTATATATACAAAATAATTATATACAGCACACACAAATATATTATGTAAACACAGACTTTTATTTTGGATGCGATTAATCGCAATTAATTTTTGCACAGCCCTAATATTTTCCAATTAAAGCAGTATCCCATGTTAAAATCGAGACGAGGCATTTAAAATCCAATTTGCTGAAGATAGATTAGTGGGTGTAGGAATAGGAAATAAAATTAAATAAACGTGGTGTAGCTCTATATAAAGAGGTTTCTACATTCTCTAGTGGTTTATAGAAATAATTAATTACTTTTATTAAGTTTTTATCTCGATCATTCTCACACTACTTTTTGTCTAGGTTTAGATTTAGTTTTGTTCGAAATGTTGATTTACTACAGTCAAACCTGAACACAGAAAGACATTTTGTCATACAAAACATCAAAATACAATAAAAATGTAAGAACAATGAACAGGTATGCTTCATCATGACTCTATCAATCTGGGGTTTGATCTTATTTCAACCTCTTATTTGAGTCTTTTGGCTCAATTTGACCATATTGTTACAGCCACACCAGTTTATTTTGTGTGTGTGTGTTTGAGTGGGCGTGTCTCTTGTTTAACCTCTTCCTCGCCGTTTATTTTTTGCTGCATTGTGGCTGAATTATTGATTTTATTTCACACAATTTGCTCTGTATTATAGTTGCGCTAGTTCACTCTTGATATTTTAGAGCGTCACTCCTTCATTGCTGTGCACTGATTTACCACCAAACGATTCTCTAAGTTTTCGTATTTTTTCGTATTTTCCAATAATTTCATATGTCGGCCATTTTTATTATTTTCCAACCTTTTAACAAATCCGAATCATGTTTGTGAATTTTTTTTTTGTTCACATAGCTAATGTTTATAGTTTCATCCCATTCCGATGAAGTAAAAAAAAAAATTTAATTTAAAGACGTAAAAATTTTTCGTCCGTTTTTGACCGAAGACTCCTGTTGTTTCTCCGATAGAAGAGACTGCCGACTGGGAGAAGGAACTGCAGCAGGAGCTTCAGGAATACGAGGTGGTCGTCGACCCGGATAATCGAGACGATAACTGGGACCGTGAGATCGAGGAGATGCTGCAGGACGACAGCTAAATCGCAACAGCGCCCCCTCTGGTGTGGAGGACACTGCAAATGAAATCCGTTTCGTTGTTCTATGAGAATGTTTATCATAAACATGAATGAAATGTGATGTTTAGCAGTCGAAGGGTTCATTCGGTGAGGTGCTGACATGCACAGTAACTAAGAAACGGTCCCTCTCTCTGATCATAGTTAGCGAGAACATGTAAATCAGACGTAATTTTGCTGATTTATCTTTTCTTTCTGACTAATTTCTGCCATGAATGGCCTTCTTTCAGAGGTGTAAATACAAACCAAAACTCAAAAAGCTGGAGATTTATTATATTTTAAATCGTGTACAAATATCATCCCGACACATTTACTGGAGAAGCAAAATTATGATTTTTATTTATGATTAAAACGTGAACAAAAGTCTGTCTGTGGGGTGACTTTGTTCCTGTTTTAATTATAAACTCACTTAATTTTGCAGACAGCTAGAGTTAAGATCTTAAGTCATTTTGCTTTTCCAGTGAATGTATATTGATTTAAAAATGTTTCGATGTTTGTACTGGAAAACTAGTCAAAAATACTATAAATAATACATTTTTGCAATGCTCAAACACTATAAGTGCACATATCGGGGTTTTCTGACTGGTTTTTGACTGCTTCTCATTCCTTATTTGTTTTTTAATGTCGATTATTCGATATTTGTACTCTGGTCATCATGTGGCAGGATTTGGTAAAGTTAAAAAAAATGTTTGGTTTCTCTCTTGAGATAAAATACATGTTTAATCAAACAATATTTACAATATGTTTGTAAGGTGAGAGCTTTAGTATAACTTTGTGTTTGTTTGTTTGTATTTTCAACTTGCACCTTGTCTTATTACTTAACAGATGAATAATCATGATTTTGTTGCCGTCAATAAAATCTTTGTCTCTAAAAAGCTCTGGTTTGTTGTTGTGTAATCAATGCACCGCATTCGTTCAATAAACTGTAAAAACAACAACAACAGTTTTTTAGCATCGTAAATAGTGTTAGCTTTTATGTCATGTTATTTTGTTCATATTCGATACACACATATACGTTATTAAATTACATTTGATGCGGTTTTTAATACGTTTTTTAATAGTGCTTGTGTTTACACGTCTGTCTTGAACGTGTCACAGTGCACGTATACGTAATGACGTCATCCGGGTTGCCATGTTGGTTGGTTTAAAGATCCCCTGAAATCTCGAAATGGCACATTTATTAAACCCATAGATTAAACCCCATCTCATCTGTATATGACTTCCGTGGAAAGTCGCTGAAATTTGTCTTATTGTGTTCGTTTTTTTGATTATACAGTTTAAAGTTGTTAACACGACACTGTTTGAATACTACATAACGACTACTACTCGTGGTGTAACATAGGCCTATGACTCTTCTATTTTCTGAAACCTTTTTATTAGGTTTTTTTAATGGAAGCTTGCTTCCGCCACAGAATAAAACATAAATAAAAAAGGTAATTGTCAGTTTTATCAAGCAATTCTGATTTCATTTCCTCAGAATCGTGATATAAAAGCGCAATTGCGAGTTATGAAATCGGACTTTCTCCCACTGTTTATCACTGTGATCGTTTTTTTCCCTATACTTAAAAAAATGTTTTATTGTTTTATTTCCATTTATTTTATTTTAGTAATGTAGATTTTGTTTTTCATTGTGCAGTTGTTTGCAGGTCACGATGCCTATTTTATTTTATTAATTTGGTTATTTTTTTCTGAGCTTTTTTTCTTTCTCTCTTTTTCTATTGATCATCCAGCCTTTATTTTACACTCAGAATAGTATCAGTATCATCAAGTATAAATATTAAAAGTACAACACATGTCGAAATAAGCAGACTTCAAAATAGGCAACAGATGCCTTGTGGACTACCAAAAGAAAAGCTATCTATTCTTACTCCTCAGTAGATTATCAGTTTTCCTTGGTTGATCCTTCCTCAATTTATTGAAGCAAATTATTAAAATCTGCCTTTGGTGTGACTTGTGACTGTGATGAGGGTTGTATTCAGAGTTTAAAAACAAAGACTTTTAAACAAAAACCAATCTGGAGATAATGTGGAAAACATTGTAAAATGTCACGTATTTTGTTAGTAAAATAAGGCTCTCTTGGAAAGCTGCGCCTTATTTACACACTGAAATGACTGGCGTGGCCCGTGAGGAGTGTTTCCCCGGCGAGGATCTGGCCTCCCCCGCAGTGTTCAGTCCCAGATCCGCGGATGGAGTCGCGATGGCTCCTTTCCCCGACGAGGTGGATGTTTTTACCGGGCCACACTGGCGCATGAAGCAGCTGGTGGAGCTCTACAGCGAGAAGGTTCGTGTCTGACCTGTTTTATCCGCCATTTCACCAGTTAAAGTGGTTTAAAGCGGTCGAGGATGTGTTTGTTTGAGGAGAGCTAATGTCAGTGTTAGCCAAACGGCTAATAGACAGAGAACAGAGTTTATAATGAACGCTTGATAACGATCTGATCGCAGATCAGCACAGAGACGCTATCTTTATCTGTGTTGTTAAGATTTTAACCCACTCTGACCATATGTGAGCTTATAGCCGGAGTATGAGAATGTCTGATCTCAGATCTGTAAGTAACGTAAACAGACTTTATTAAATGTAAAACACAATAATAAGGCGATGTCGCATTTATTGTGAATCTCTGATCCACAATCTGATCTCAGATATGTAAACATACTCTTATTTTGTATTGAATACTACTACTACTAATAATAATATAAACACTCAGACGCCACGTGAGATGTGGAAATAGCTGCGTCTGATAATGTTGTGACGTCTATTAAAAACAATTTTTTTATCTTTGTTTTATATTGATTTTTCTAACACAACATTAACTTCTAAACGCATCCAAACCCATGTATTTTGTTAAACATCCACACAGATGTGAATTTCACTACATTCAGTGTGTCTGATCTATAATCAGATTATTTCTAGATTGAAAACACACTTTAAATGCACTAATATGCTTCGCCGATTAATGTATTTGACTTAAAATTCGTTTATAAACATCTGAAATTGAGATTTGAAGGGGTGAAAGTGCTGTGCAGTGAGATGGTTTATTAGTCTGAGTCAGTCTGATTACACTCATTTAATCTGAACAGGTTTGCATGGAGATTATGATGATTTTAATGGTTTCAGTGTAGGGCTGAACGATTTAGGAAAATAATCTAATTGCGATTTTTTTAACCAATATTGCGATTGCGATTTAATATGCGATTTAAAAAAAAAAGTTATTTACCTTCTGTATTAGTCGACAAAGACAAGCAATAAATCATTGTACAGTAGGGATGGGAATCTTTAGATAGCTCATGATCCGATCTACTTTTTTTCTTATTAATTAATCTTAATAACTCTTAAAATATGTATTTAATTACATGTGTAAAAACACATACTTTAAAAAATAAATATAAAAAAAACATTAAATTAAACCAATTACATGTTAAGAATTTTAAATAGGCCTAGGCTATATAAAATAATATAGCTTCAAAATATAAAAGCTAGTAAATAAAGAGAAACAAAAAAAAACATTACAAGCAATAAACAAAGAGTGGTCTCTGTATTTAAAAGTAGGCTGTCTGAATGTTTTTCATTCAAGAGCTGGAGTGATTTCCCCTCAGTTTAGATACGATAAGCTGCATTCACACTAATGCATATATCTCTTTTGAAATTGTAAATGTGGTTTGTCCTGTTGGTTTAAGATATAACTGACCGTGTTTACATCAATTTCGCGTCATAAAAGCATTTTGACATGCAAGTACATTTACCAATGAGTCGCTCACGGCCGCATGCACGAGCGCTCTTCACAAAGCACGCGTTAGTATTTTAAAATGAAAGCAGCCTTCTCAGTGATTTTCATGGCTTTAATATAAGCCAACTGCATTCCAAAATACATAAATAATGCCTCTGTGAATCATTTGTAAAGAAAATACCCGCGGGAGAGAACGCGCACTGCAAGTGTAACGTTATAACATCAAGCAAAGCGGCAAAAACTGTTCAATGAAGCCCGCGAATGTCCTTGTAATTTGGTTCAACCCCGACCTTTATAAAATAACGTTACTATGTTTTGGAAGGTTCGAGCGGTGTCATGTGTGTGTGTGAGTGAGGAAGAGAGAGAGCGAGAAAATAGAAGCAAGCAGATTCAGAACACGGTTCGTTTCTAAAGCACGCGCAGCGTCATCACGCATCTGTGTTTAAAAGTTAAGCTCAGACTCGATTCTGAAATTCTCTGAATCGATCCAGGATTGTTGAGGAGAGAATAAATAACACAATAAACTGTTCTTTTCTGGACGCCAGACCGCGTAGCGTGGCAAGTTGATGCTTTATCTTGCAGACTGCTTTTCTCTCGCGTGTCAAGTGACCAGTGTAATCGCAGCCCTTGCGATTACAAAATCGCGTTTCATCATATCGCGATTTTATCGCAAATGCAATTAATCGTTCAGCCCTATTTCAGTGGGTGTGTAGCTTCAGTTCAGCCTATGTTAGGGTTTGTAAGTCACACACACTGCTTATGTAAGACACAAATGTGTGTGTGTTTGCTGTGTCAGTAGAAAATTTTGTGCATCTACACACTCATCTGAACTCGTTTAACAGTTGACACACATCCAGGGTTATATAACGGTAATGCTCTGAGTTTATAATGGCCGACGCTGATGCCGTTGTCTAGACTAGAGCGACATTCTTTTGGATATGATCATCTTTACATTCTTTCGGATATGATCATCTTTGTGCCAAGGACCGCCATCCTAAAATTGAAAAGCCAGCTATATATTTATATGTATTAAGATGTAATTTATACTGGGAAAAAATCATGTTGTAAATTAATATTTAGTTTCAAATGGTACATTATTCTTTTTTCTAATTCACTATAGTACTGTATTGCTATATTATTTATTTAAATCGTTTTTATTGTTTATTTTAATCAATTAATTTAATTAGTTAATTAGATCTAATTTATTTTAATTATTTCTATTTATCTATGGATCTCAGTTTGAAAACCTCTGATCTAGAAAGGATTATGACCAATATTTTATTAACCGTTTAATTTATTGATGCCATTTGACTCTTACATGAAATCTCTGTATCACTGAGAACGCAAAACTTTTCGTGAGAGAACTCAAACTTTCGCGAGAGAACGCAAAACTTTCGCGAGAGAACAAAAAAACGTTCGCGAGAGAACGCAAAACTTTTCGTGAGAGAACTCAAACTTTCGTGAGAGAACTCTAAAACTTTCGCGAGAGACCGCAAAACTTTTCGTGAGAAACCGCAAATCTTTTGGGAGAGACCGCAAAACTTTCGGGAGAGACCACAAAACGGGAGAGACCACTCTCTCGCGAAAGTTTTGCGGTCTCTCCCAAAAGATTTGCGAGGGAACGCAAAACTTTCGCGAGAGAACGCAAAACTTTCAGGAGCTTTCGGAAGAGAGTGCAAAATTTTTGGGGCGAAAATGCAAAACTTTCGTGATCGAACACAGACATTTTTTGGGAGAGAATGCAAAACTTTTGCAATATAACACAAAACTTCCACGAGATAAAAATTTCGGGTACGAACGCAAAACTTTTATGACATAACGCACAACTTTCAGGAGAGAATGCAAAACTTTCGGGAACGAACACAGAACTTTTGGGACAAAACGTGGTTTTACTTTTTTTTTTTTTTTTTTGTTAACGATATATCAGTCCGTATTAACCCGCCTCTTTTATATGTAACTGATTTAGTTTTCCTGGGCAGATCTCGTTTACATTCGTGTGTCAGTAACTCTTGAGTCCCTGATGTTTCATCGCGTGTTTTGTGTGTTTTCCACCCACAGCTTTCCAAGACGAACTTCTCCAACAACAGGGATTTCCGCTCGTTCCTGCAGTCGCTGCTCGCCACCTTTAAGGAGTTCAAGATGCACGAGCAGATCGAGAACAAGTGCATCATCGAGCTCCTGCAGGAACGCAGTCAGATGGTCTATCATGTCCACGCCGACAACAAGCTGTCCGAGATGCTGTCGCTGTTTGAGAAGGGGCTGTGCAGCGTCAAGGTGTGTGTGTGTGTGTACACGTATGTCATAGGTTTGATTGCTGCAGCAGAAATTACACACTTTTCACGTGTCGGTCAAAAATGACCGAATTTTTATTTTATTATTTTTTCAATCAGATTAATGTACTATATTTTAGTTTGATAATATTTTTTTATTTAATTTTTTGCATTTTTAGGGGATTTATGGTACTAAATTATATTACCGCTGTATTTATTATCCATTTATTTACTTTTTGAGCATAGATCTGAAAATTAAATTTTGGTAAATCTTGAATGCTTTAGAGCGACAGACTGAAGTTTGACCTCTTCTCAAAGACGACACTTGGCGGATTATTGCTGAAGTGAAAAAAGTTTTAAAAAGTGAATTTGAAAAAACAAACATAATTTTATGTTAATAATCATGAAAAATGTGCAAAAATAAAATTATTAAATGAAATAATGTAGCAAGTGCAACCATTCCGATATCGTAAAAAATTAGTTTTCGCTCAAAAATGCCGAAGAGCACCAGAGGGTTACAGAGGCTTGATGTAGCTGTAATAGCGACACCAGAGGCCGTTAAGTGAACTACAGCTTCACACGTAACACGAGAGACTGAACGCGATTCAAGACGCTGTTGTTTGGCACGTTCACACTCGTCTTGTGACGCTAAACACTGCTAATTACTGATGACGTCATGGCCACTCGTGGCCATCAGCCGAGACGTGACACAGATCTGGATAGAGAAGTTAAATGTGTCACATGACTCTCTGTTTACGTATTTTAACACTTCTATTTAATCATCCAAACTGTTTTTTTATCTTCAAAATACGATAGACAAGGTCCATTCTGACGTGTCAGTCCAAACTTGCCAAATATTGGGGAATTTTCCACTTGATTATTTACAGGGCGTTGGGAAATCCTGCTGTGAGTTCCTGTGCGGACAATGGAAAGAATGAAGATCATGAGTTTATAATAACTCCAGTTATGAGATTAATTCAGTTTAACAGTTCATCTGTGATTTTACAGCGTTATTGAACTGTTTTAGTTCGTACTCAGACCTCGCATGTCGTGTTGAGTTAGCTTATTTTTACACAATATTAAATATATACAATAAAAAGCAAGGAAATGCAAATTCATATTACAGTGCAATTAATATATATAAGAAATGTAAATTACTACATCAAACATATTTTAACATCATTTAAGATACTATTATAATTTTTATTCATATTTTGAGTTTTTCCAGTTTCACTTTAATTTTAGTTAATTGTAGCCATTATTTTGATGTGTTTTTTATATAAAAAAAATAATATATTTTAGTACCTTAAGTAAATAAAAACACTAAATAAATACATGTATTCTAAATAATAAATTGTATATTTAATTTTTTTATTTCGTATTATTTCAAGTAATTTTTTAATTTTTATGATTTTATTTATAGTAAACAATAAACAAATAACTAAAAACAGTATAATCATAACAAATATCAAAAACAGCATGCAAATGTATGTGTAATATGTATTCATTCATATATGCGTGTGCATACATTTATGAAGTCCATGTAGAGAAGATATTGATATAAACAGTATAAAATGCATACAATCAATGAAGAAAAACAGTAAAGCAACAATGAAATGGTCTTTAAGCATCTTTCATGTTACAGAAGAACATTTGAGTTGGGTTAAGTGTGTGTCAGTCGCAGCACAGACTTGTTTGTTGTGGCCTTTTTAGCCTGTAATCGTGACACAGCATAATGATCTGCAGTGGAAACGCCTGGTGTCGGGTGAAGTGTGAAGTGTGTTGAGCAAACAGACTCATTAAGAAATCAATAATGCTTTTTAATTAGGCCTTTTTACGCCCTCTCTTGTGTTCAGGCTCGACTAGAACAGGTTTTCCTGCTTGAATGATGATTATTCTCCTCATTGTTGCGGCTCCTCTCCTCCCAGTCTGTCCGTAACACTCGGTTTACTTCCTGTCTCTCCCCCTGAAAAGCACACTCTGCTCTGATTGGTCGGCTGGAACAGTGTGTTATGATTGGTCGAGCGCTTTGAGTGTGGTTTGGAATGTCCCGCCCTTTTCCATAACCACCAGTTTAACACACTACTAACTCACTCAACCAGGCCCCGCCCCTTTATTCCGCGCATTAATTATTATAATGAGGAGTATTGTGACGTGTTCATTCCCGGAAGAAACTGATATAGAGGAGAACTGTCATGCTCAAACGTGTTGTGTTTCAGAGCGAGTACGAACAGCTGAATTACGCGCAGCAGCTGAAGGAGAGGCTGGAGGCGTTCACTCAGGACTTCCTTCCTCATATGAAAGAGGAAGAGGAGGTGAGACTCATCTTTAACTAGTGCTGGGCAATGATTAATCTCATCCAAAATAAAAGTTTGTGTTTGCATGATATATGTGTGTGGACTGTGTATAATTATTTAGTAAAGTCCTGTTTTCTAGAGAAATTATTCAAAATGAAGTGAGTTTATGCTTACAAAACGTAAACTTATCTGCCAATGGGGTGAGAAAAATAATCGTAATTCAATCAGAATTGAATTTTGAAAATTAAATTTTGAAATGGCATTCCTGCAGATCCATAATGCATAATTTAAAGTGCATTATTTTAACGTTAAATTTGCATTCGTCCCGTCAGATGTGTGGTCTCCTCTCTGTGTCCGTCTGATGTGTGGAGTGTGTTCTCAGGTGTATCAGCCCATGCTGATGGAGTACTTCACGTACGAGGAGCTGAAGGCCATCAAGCGTCAGGTGATGCTGCAACACTCCAATAACCCGTCCTGGAGCGCCGCCGCCGCCGACGTGCTGAAGGGCCTGAACCTCTGGAGCCAAGCTGAGGAGCTGCACAAGGCCTTCAAATACTCCGACCACGAGAAGACCGAAGACGGTGAGTCACTAATCAATATTTTGATGATTAATCGAGTACTCGGATAATTTAAGAATTGAACAATAGCCTGTTGGTGTTCAATTAATCGGACGATTGTTTTGATGATTAATCGAGTACTCAGATAATTTATCAGGTGATTATTAGCATTTAGGTTTTCAAGTAATGAGTTGATTATCTTGATGATTAATCGAGTACTCAGATAATTTAAGAATTGAACAATAGCCTGTTGGTGTTCAATTAATCGGACGATTGTTTTGATGATTAATCGAGTACTCAGATAATTATCAGGTGATTAATAGCATTTAGGTTTTCAAGTAATCAGTCGATTACCTTGATGATTAATCGAGTACTCAGATAATTTCAAGAATTGAACAATAGCCTGTTGGTGTTCAATTAATCGGACGATTGTTTTGATGATTAATCGAGTGCTCAGATAATTTATCAGGTGATTAATAGCATTTAGGTTTTCAAGTAATGAGTTGATTATCTTCATGATTAATCGAGTACTCGGATCATTTAAGAACTGAACAATAGCCTGTTGGTGTTCAATTAATCGGGCGATTGTTTTGATGATTAATCGAGTACTCGGATGATTTATCAGGTGATTAATAGCATTTAGGTTTTAAAGTAATCAGTTGATTATTTTGATGATTAATCGAGTACTCGGATAATTTAAGAATTGAACAATAGCCTGTTGGTGTTCAATTAATCGGACAATTGTTTTGACGATTAATTGAGTACTCGGATAATTCAACAAGCTAACAATAGTTTTTTGGTTGTCTAGTAATCTGATGATTTATATACAGTATAATCACAACATTTTGGGTCAATCTGCACAGAACAAGCACAGCTAATTTAATTTATTTGTATTCATTATTTTATATATTATTTTAATATATATATATATATATATATTAGGGCTGTGCAAAAATTAATTGCGATTTATCGCATACAAAATAAAAGTCTGTGTTTACATAATATATTTGCATGTGCTGTATATAATTATTTTGTATATATAAATACCTATGCATGTATATATTTAAGAATTATTTGCGCTTAAATTCTGTATATATATATATATATATATATATAAATACATAATCTATATTATATAAATATTTTATATATGAATAACACATTTTCTTAAATATATACATGCATGTGTGTGTATTTATATATACAAAATAATTATATACAGCACACACAAATATATTATGTAAACACAGACTTTTATTTTGGATGCGATTAATCGCAATTAATTTTTGCACAGCCCTAAATATATATATATATATATATATATATATATATTTAAAGTTTTCAATAAATGCAGAAATTAAGACAGCCATAAAAAAAAGTGCTAAAAAGAAAATATATTTTCTTTTGGTATCATAATTGTTATTTTTCTTAAATACTTAATTTTTATTTTACATTGAAATATCACGATAGTAATAGTATACACACCCAAAAAGGGACAATTTTAACATGCTATATAAAAATATCTGTGGGGTATTTTGAGCTGAAACTTTACACACACTCAAACACACACTGGGGACATTACAACCCTGCCTTTAAGCGACTTGCCTATGATGTTATTGTTTCCGGTTGCGTCATGACCTTTGACCTCTTAGGCCAGGCATTGCCCATGTTACTCAACCTCCTTCCGTATTGAAGTCTGATGTAAATCTGGAGTTTCCCTGGAGTTGAGTGAACCATGTAACCTGCGAGCGTGGTGTGTGTGTGAGATCTGCTGTGATGTGTCGGTGTTTGTGTGTGTTGTGTCCGGCAGAGCGGGGCAGCGAGCGCGGGTCCATCTCGGCGCTGCCGCAGGAGCTGCTCCTCAAGGTGTTCCGCTTCCTGGCTCCGCTGGATCTGTGTCGCTGTGCGCAGGTGTGCAACCTCTGGGCTCAGGTGTCCAGGACCGGCTCGCTGTGGAGACACCTGTACCCCGTACGCTGGGCCAGAGGTGCGTCAACACACTCTTTACCACATATATGTAAAGATAAACACTCCAAACTATGCTTTATTATTCTTAGTGTTTCTGTCTTGTTTCCAGTCCAAATATCAAGCATTTCTTAAATCAAGATGCATTTACTAGATGACTAGTAATAGTCATATAGTAATTAGTTAGATAAATAGTTTCTGTCTGAATTAAGATTATTTTTCTCTCCCCGTCGGCAGATCATTTTGCTTGTTTTAAGCATCAACTCACTTCATTTTGATTAATTCCTCTAGAAAACAGGAAATAATATCATTTTACTCATCTAGTAAATGCATCTTGATTTAAGATTTTTTACATAATTAGACTGAAAATGAAAAACAAAAATACTAAGAAAAAAGTTTTTTTCAGTGTGTGTAATTCATCAATTAGATGAAGAAATTGAATGAGTTATGCTTATTTTGCTTATATGATGGAATATCATATATTCAATGTAACTTTGGCTAGAAGTGTGTTTCTCATAGCCGGACTATTAATACGTTTACACTAGCGCTCACAAGTCTCTTCTGCTCACCAAGGCTGCATTTATTTGATTAACAATACAACAACAAAAACAGTAATATTGTTAAATATTATGACAATATACAGTAAAGTGTAATTTATTCCTGTGATAAAAGCTGAATTTATCATCATTACTCCAGTCTTCAGTGTCACATGATCCTTCAGAAATCACTCATTTCTGATAAATAATAAAGGTGTCAGCTTTGAGTTGATGTGCGTTTATCGCCCCCTTGTGTCCATCAGTCATGTTTATCACTGTAAGCTGAGAGATGTTTCCCTTTAGTATAATGTGCACCAAACATTGAGGCATTAAAGACAGAAAATAATGTTTATTTCATGGTGTCTTTTAACTAAATATTACATTTATATTTATATGTAAATATTAAATGCATATTATTACAGCATGAGTTTTATTTTATTTTGTTATTAAGTAATTTTTAATTAATTAAAAAACAATAATATCGAATTATTTTATATTAAAAAACTTTAATTAAATTATATACTGCATAGCAAATATTTTATACATTTTGCTCTAAATTTTATATTATGAAATTAATATAATTTTCATTAAAGTAATATACTGCATTATTCAAATGATTTTGAAGTATTTTTATACTATAAAACCTTCATTACAAACAGTAGTTTTTTGATAATTATAAAACTATTTAAATACTACTTTAACCATAACTTTTACTTGAAAGTTTTATAATTAATTCTGAAAAATATTAAAAATGTTTTAATTACAAACAGTAGCATACTGCACTAGTGAATTATTTTAATATATATTTAAATCCGTAATATACTACATTAGCTAATTATTTATATATATATATATATATATATATATATATACACATACAAACATATATTATGAAACTAATTTCAAACACCATTAGTGAATTATTTTTTACATTTTTTTAATTAACTTTAATTAATTTAAAACAGTAGTGCACTGCATTGGTGAATTATTGTTTTTAATTAATTATAAAACTTTAATTAAAAAACATATATACTATACGTACTATAATAAATTGTTTTTATAAATTATTTTAATTTTTTTCTAAAACTTTAGTTATATACTAAATTAGTGAATTGTATTTATTCTGTTTATAATTTTATAGAATTACAAAACTTTTATTAAAATTGTTGATATTTTTATATTTTATATATACATTTCTATTTTTGGTTTTATTATTTTTTATTAGTTAGTTAAATTGTATTTAAAAAACTCCATTACAGCCTCATGCTTAATACATTTATGTTTTTTGGGTTTTATTTTATTTATTTATTAATGGAATTGTAATTAAAAAACTGCATTACTGTGCATTTATATTTTTTGTTTTATTACTTTTATTAATTAATTAAATTGTAAATTAATAAACTGCATTAATGCCACGTGTTTAATTCAGGACGGTATTCAATCATGTATTTTACGTTATTTTACATTTTTAATGCGGTTCTAAATGGAGAACATTGAAGGTCGGGTCGAGTGTGTTGCATTGTGGGATACAGCATCAGTGTGTGCTCATGCGATTGGTTGTAATGGTGTTTGTAGGAGACTATTACTGTGGTCCTCCGGGCGAGTTGGACCAGGAGCCGGATGATGATTGGGTGAAGAGTCTCCAGGACGAGGGACGAGCCTATCAGGAGTGGGACGAGGACGCAGACGTCGACGAATCAGGTGAGCCTTCACTTAGAACTACATTTCCCATGATCCCGCGGGCCGTAGCTGTGAAATAAACATCCTTGCTGGGCTTTAATAGTTAAAAAAAAAATAACACTTTTAAACGTGTGTGTTCAGAGGAGGCGTGTGAGGGCTCTCCAGCCATTAATGCGGTTCAGAGAGAGAAGACTCTTCTCGACGGGATGATCCAGAAGCTTCTGCCTGTCGTCGGCTCATCCGTTCGCTCGCTCGTCCTGGCCTACAGCTCCACCGTCTCCAGCAAGATGGTGCGTTACTCAGATCATGTGATCAACACACACTCACACATGACCAAACTGAGCACTGAAGAGGAGTCGTGATTCAGTGACTCACTCATATAGACTTCACTTGTTCCATTACTGGATGAATCAGCGTTTTTGAACGAATCTCTTGAATGAATGATTCAGTGACTCACTCATAAAGACTTGTTTCACATGGGTGTTTGAATCAAGATTGCGATCTTAATCGTGCAGCTCAAACATGTCTACGAAATCTAGTTAAATATATGTTATTTGACTATTAACCATATTTAACTGGTCTATCCTGCTTTTAAACTCATGATTTTTGTTATTATTACATTTAATTAATATAATAATATGATTATAATATTGTTTTCTCCTTCCAGGTGCGACAGATCCTCAGTTTGTGCCCAGGCCTCACGCACCTGGACCTCACGCAGACTGACGTCTCCGACTCCGCCTTCCACAGGTTGGCTCTTCTTCCGATTAGTTGTTCGTAACATTTGGCTGCTCATATCGTTTGTGTATTTGATGTACTGTAATGCCATGTTGATTTTGTGGAACCCACTTCTTTCATTAATGAATGAATCAGTGTTTTTGAACGAATCTCTTGAATGAATGATTCAATGACTCACTCAGAAATACTTCACTTCTTTCATTAATGAATGAATCAGTGTTTTTGAACGAATCTCTTGAATGAATGATTCAATGACTCACTCAGAAATACTTCACTTCTTTCATTAATGAATGAATCAGTGTTTTTGAACGAATCTCTTGAATGAATGATACAATGACTCACTCAGAAATACTTCACTTCTTTCATTAATGAATGAATCAGTGTTTTTGAACGAATCTCTTGAATGAATGATTCAATGACTCGCTCAGAAATACTTCACTTCTTTCATTAATGAATGAATCAGTGTTTTTGAATGAATCTCTTGAATGAATGATTCAATGACTCACTCAGAAATACTTCACTCCTTTCATTAATGAATGAATCAGTGTTTTTGAATGAATCTCTTGAATGAATGATTCAATGACTCACTCAGAAATACTTCACTTCTTTCATTAATGAATGAATCAGTGTTTTTGAACGAATCTCTTGAATGAATGATTCAATGACTCACTCAGAAATACTTCACTTCTTTCATTAATGAATGAATCAGTGTTTTTGAACGAATCTCTTGAATGAATGATTCAATGACTCACTCAGAAATACTTCACTTCTTTCATTAATGAATGAATCAGTGTTTTTGAACGAATCTCTTGAATGAATGATACAATGACTCACTCAGAAATACTTCACTTCTTTCATTAATGAATGAATCAGTGTTTTTGAACGAATCTCTTGAATGAATGATTCAATGACTCGCTCAGAAATACTTCACTTCTTTCATTAATGAATGAATCAGTGTTTTTGAATGAATCTCTTGAATGAATGATTCAATGACTCACTCAGAAATACTTCACTCCTTTCATTAATGAATGAATCAGTGTTTTTGAATGAATCTCTTGAATGAATGATTCAATGACTCACTCAGAAATACTTCACTTCTTTCATTAATGAATGAATCAGTGTTTTTGAACGAATCTCTTGAATGAATGATTCAATGACTCACTCAGAAATACTTCACTTCTTTCATTAATGAATGAATCAGTGTTTTTGAACGAATCTCTTGAATGAATGATTCAATGACTCACTCAGAAATACTTCACTTCTTTCATTAATGAATGAATCAGTGTTTTTGAACGAATCTCTTGAATGAATGATACAATGACTCACTCAGAAATACTTCACTTCTTTCATTAATGAATGAATCAGTGTTTTTGAACGAATCTCTTGAATGAATGATTCAATGACTCGCTCAGAAATACTTCACTTCTTTCATTAATGAATGAATCAGTGTTTTTGAATGAATCTCTTGAATGAATGATTCAATGACTCACTCAGAAATACTTCACTCCTTTCATTAATGAATGAATCAGTGTTTTTGAATGAATCTCTTGAATGAATGATTCAATGACTCACTCAGAAATACTTCACTTCTTTCATTAATGAATGAATCAGTGTTTTTGAACGAATCTCTTGAATGAATGATTCAATGACTCACTCAGAAATACTTCACTTCTTTCATTAATGAATGAATCAGTGTTTTTGAACGAATCTCTTGAATGAATGATTCAATGACTCACTCAGAAATACTTCACTTCTTTCATTAATGAATGAATCAGTGTTTTTGAACGAATCTCTTGAATGAATGATACAATGACTCACTCAGAAATACTTCACTTCTTTCATTAATGAATGAATCAGTGTTTTTGAACGAATCTCTTGAATGAATGATTCAATGACTCGCTCAGAAATACTTCACTTCTTTCATTAATGAATGAATCAGTGTTTTTGAATGAATCTCTTGAATGAATGATTCAATGACTCACTCAGAAATACTTCACTCCTTTCATTAATGAATGAATCAGTGTTTTTGAATGAATCTCTTGAATGAATGATTCAATGACTCACTCAGAAATACTTCACTTCTTTCATTAATGAATGAATCAGTGTTTTTGAACGAATCTCTTGAATGAATGATTCAATGACTCACTCAGAAATACTTCACTTCTTTCATTAATGAATGAATCAGTGTTTTTGAACGAATCTCTTGAATGAATGATTCAATGACTCACTCAGAAATACTTCACTTCTTTCATTAATGAATGAATCAGTGTTTTTGAACGAATCTCTTGAATGAATGATACAATGACTCACTCAGAAATACTTCACTTCTTTCATTAATGAATGAATCAGTGTTTTTGAACGAATCTCTTGAATGAATGATTCAATGACTCGCTCAGAAATACTTCACTTCTTTCATTAATGAATGAATCAGTGTTTTTGAATGAATCTCTTGAATGAATGATTCAATGACTCACTCAGAAATACTTCACTCCTTTCATTAATGAATGAATCAGTGTTTTTGAATGAATCTCTTGAATGAATGATTCAATGACTCACTCAGAAATACTTCACTTCTTTCATTAATGAATGAATCAGTGTTTTTGAACGAATCTCTTGAATGAATGATTCAGTGACTCACTCAGAAATACTTCACTTCTTTCATTAATGAATGAATCAGTGTTTTTGAACGAATCTCTTGAATGAATGATTCAATGACTCACTCAGAAATACTTCACTTCTTTCATTAATGAATGAATCAGTGTTTTTAAACAAATCTCTTGAATTAATGATTCAGTGAGTCACTCGTAAAGTCTAAGCATTTTGATTTTGTGGATCTCATGATTATTATAGTTACTTATAGTTACGTGTTTTTCCAGCTGGGCGGAGTTCGGGGTGTGTCATACTCTGGAACACCTGGATCTGTCGGGTTGCGACAAAATCACGGACCGCACTCTGAAGATTCTCTCATTGGGATTGGGCGACTTAACGGCGTCCAATCCGGATCGCAGAGCCAAACTGCTGAAAGCCCCGCCCTCTCCCATCAAACTACAAGACGAGCACTCCCTTCAGCCAATAGGACGCAGCTGCCAGGATCTTATATTCAAGCGGAGACCTGGTGGGCGTGGCTCAGGCTGTGGCCCCGCCCACGTGTGGGTTCTTGATTCGGCGAAACTAGCCGACATCGAGGACGCCGCCGACTGGAGCAAACCGGGTGGCGTGTTTACAGAGGAAAGTGGGCGTGGTCACATTTTTGAGTCGCAGGGAGGCGTTGGCTCATGCTGTTGTAAGAGGAGCCGGAGGCGGAGCTTCAGGACTGGTATAAGCTCCTCCCACTGGCAGTTTGGCTCGATGGGTGACGCCCACTGTGGTCACTCCACCTGTTGCACATCAGATGTGTCGCTCTGGACTGTGAGAGAAACGCACTGTGACCTCCAGGCCAGAGGGGGCAGTGTTGATTTTCGGACTAAATGCTCGTTTGAGGGCGAATCTTGCCCTGATCGTCACAACAGGACTGACCAATCAGGAGCCTTTCGAACACTCCGGTTCCTCAGCCTGTCGGGATGCTATCAGATCACGGATCTCGGCCTGAGGTACAGACCAAACACCGCCACCATATTATGGACGATCCTAGAACTAATACACTAGACACTAATAACTTTTCATATACGGTTTGCTTTCCATGTATAACAGTTTTTCAGTGTAGTTCTGGTGCGAAAGCCACTAATGATTTCAGCTGTCTAAATTTATTGTTTGTTTTTTACAAACTGTGATTCCTCAGTAAAGTGTGTGTGTGTGTGTGTGTCAGGTGTCTGTCTCGGCGTGGAGGGCTCCCTCTGCTGGAGCATCTGAATCTGTCGGGCTGCCTGCTCATCACGGGGGCGGGGCTTCATGAGCTGGTGTCGGCTTGCCCCGCCCTCAACACACAGCACTTCTACTACTGCGACAACATTAACGGTAACACACCGTCACACACACTCACAGCGCTGAGAATAACGAGAAATACGTGATTTATCTGATAGATATGAACTTATTAACAGCAAATGCGTCACCTTATAACCTAATAAATTACTCGTGTCCAATCTCTGAATATTAAATCTCTCTGTGTTCTGTTATATCATAATTTCCCACACTGGGTTTCCTGAGTTGATTTATTATAAAATTGATTATAAAAGTTATTAATAATTGATCATTCTATATTTTGATTGTTGTGAAAATATTTATTTTATTAGATTATTTATTTTATTTTTATATTTAAAATCAATTTAATAAATAAAAAGTTTAAATCGAAATTACTAATTTGTAGAATAATAACAAATACTTAAATTAACTGACGTCAGTGCTGTTTTTTTTAATTCATATTAGAAGTTTGTCGTTTTTGTCATTTGTATCAGTTACTAATTTTTATTTTATCTAGTTGTTTGTTTTATTACATATACTAAAAGAAAATGAAAAATGTTGCCATGGCAACTAGCTAATTTTTTTTAAATATAATTTGTTGTATTTCAGTTAATGTTTATTTTATTTTGGGTGATTTTTTTTTCTTAATACGAGAACCGTGAACTTTGTGAATGTGAAAGACTTTCAGCTCAAATGTGTTCTGCTACAAAACACTTTGTAAATCCTTGAGTCATATGGATCTGTTTTATGATATGTGATATATGTTATGTGATACACAATTCCTCATGTGAAGCCCAAAACCAAGTTTGGCGTTGTCTCGGTAAGTAAAGCGCGGGTTTGTTACGAAGCCTGTTTTAATCTAATGTAAAAATGTAAAATAGCTCAAATACTAGCTTCATTTTGTTTACTTATAGCATCTTTCAGTCCACACACACTGCAAAACATGATTTATTACTCAATTTATATTCCAAATATCTAACATTTCTTAAATCAAGATCCATTTACTAGATGAATAAAATGAGAATATGGTGCAAAACTTCATTTATTTCAGTAATTCAACTTAAAAGGTGAAACTAATATATTAAATAGACTCGTTACACTCATTAAAGTGAGATATTTCAAGCCTTTATTTGTTATAATTTTGATGATTATGAAAACACCAAATTCAACATTAGAATATTATGAAAATGTTTTCATATCTGTATTCCATAAACATCACAATTATAACAAATAAAGGCTTGAAATATCTCACTTTGCATGTAATGAGTCCATATAATATATTAGTTTCACCTTTTAAGTTGAATTACTGAAATAATTCTTCGAGTTTCATCTCATGTCATTTTGCTCATCTAGTAAATGGATCTTGATTTAAGAAATGTTAGATATTTTTGTAATAAAGCATATTTTGCAGTGTGTGTATTGTGAAACCCCAGTGCTTTCTCAGTTTACTAGTAAATCTCTGAGTTCATTCATGGAAACTGGTCATGTGATCTCCCGGTGTGTGTAACTGGTGTGGCTCTGGTCCCGCAGGTCCTCACGCAGACACGGCCAGCGGATGCCAGAACCTGCAGTGCGGCTTCAGGGCTTGCTGTCGATCCGGAGAGTGATGCTCTTCATCCTCCTATGTCTCATCCCTCATCATCCACTGCACTTTAAGCCGGAAATTGCTTCAAGATGCTCTTCGACGCAGTTCGGTCTCACTAAAATCAAATAAAGTCAAATTCATCTTTGTAAACCAATCCCCTGAAAGGTTTTGTGAAGGATCTAAATGATGTATATTTGTATATAATTCATAATTGTCTGTTCAGACGCTCTTTAATTGGAAACTTTAAGATGTTACTTCAACATCGTGTGGGTTGTTTTTTTGTTTTGAGTATTTCACCCTGGCACATCTCGAGTGTGTGCACTCCAAACATGCTTTTCTTAGTGTTTCTGTCTCGTTTCCAATCTAAATATAAAAAAATTATTTGAAATTATCTGGAAATGGGGTGAGAAAAATAATGTTTCTGATTGAATTAAGATTATTTTTCTCACCCCATTAGCAGATAATTTAGCTGTTTTTAAGCATCAACTCATTACATTTCTATTTATTTCCCCAGAAAACAGGAAATAATATCATATATAATTTTACTAATCTAGTAAATGCATCTTGATTTAAGAATCTCTACGTATTTGGACTGTAAAAAAGACAAAACTACTAAGAAAAGCATTTTCTGCAGTGTAACTCCATCTCAAGAATCATTACTGTGAGTATGATGTGTGTTAATCACCTGCGCAAAATAGGAAAAATGCGATTCGCGAGCTTTTTGAGTTGTGGTTCGTCAAATAAATCCGCAGGTGTTTTGGAAAGCAACAAAGCTGTACTGGTGTTAATCTATTTGACCAGATATATTTCTCTATCTTCACTGAACGAGACTTCACCCGTGATTTAAATATCTGGCAACCGTGTCGAAGCGTTTTCCAATATTTCACACTTGGGTTGGTTTAAAGGGCTTGTGAACTGTAATAAGACCTGGGTATATTACACTTGTTCATTTACACTTGTTCGTTTTAGATGCTGCATGATGCGTTTCTTTTGCGTAGCTGACCATTAAAAGCACCTTGACAGAACATACGTCTGTGTTGAAGTGTTTATTGAGCATGTGGTGTAAAGTAAGTCATTTTGGTAAGTAAATAATGGCAGGATTTACATTGTTTGGTGATCTATCCCTTTATTGGAAACTTTACAGTCCACAAAATTTCGCGCTTGATCCCTGAAAGAGGCCAAATCCTGGGTAGAGGGGTTGAGTGAACCTGGTTTGGACCTGGTGTAGGAGGATCATGGTGTCTGAGACGCTGTAGAAGGACAGCCGTCCTGCCCGGTGATCCAGATACACCCCGATCCGATGGGACAGGGGTACGTCCACCTCCACCTCCTCGTTATTGTGCACTAGTGCATATCTGAATATTGTACAGTCCAAACTCCAGGATTGGCTGTTGTACCCAAACCCGCTGTCGTCGTCTTGCCCAGTTCTGCTGATGTCTTTGTATGACACTGCGACGTCTACGCCATATTCCCCGGCCCACACCACCTCCCAGTAGCATCGGCCCGTCAGCCCTTTCTTGCTCAGTACTTGGGCCCACCACTCGAACCTGTCCTGGTGCTCAGGGTATGACTGGGGCTCAATGCTGCAATCCACAGCCTGGTTCTGCTCCGATAACCGGAGGTTCCTATGGGCCGAGTTTGGGTCCAGACTCAAGGGGACCAGAACTGATTGGAGAGGAGAGACAAGGAAAGACTAAGCAAGACACAAGAAAAGACAAAGGTAAAGCTTATCCAAGACCAGTTTACTTGGATCGCCCACAAGTGGGGATGGCAGGCCCGGCGCCAGGACACGCGACACGACAGGGCATTGGTATTCTCATGTGGGCCAGCCGCCGAAATTGCATTCCAGTAGGGCTGGCCCCTAATAGTCGACTTGAAGAGGCTTAGGCCACATCCACACGAAGCCAGAGCATTCCCTATCCGATCTTTCTCTTTTTTTCCTGTGTGTCGTGTCAGGATTATGCTAACCCCTTCAAGTAAAGTGTTACCGAAAAATCTTTAGGTGAGGGCAACCCTACATTCAGGGGTGATTCTTGATTGTTGGTCTGGAGGGGTTTCTGGGACATTCATGGGCCTCCCCTCTGGCGCCGGGCCTGCTAAGGTCTTGGTATGTAAAACAGAACTTAAAGTGAAAGAAGAAATGATTTGAATCAATCAACAATCAAGGACTAAGGCAGGGATGGGCAACATAGGTACTGATGTGCCACTGTCCGGCAGAGTTCCCGCCAACTCTAATCAAATACTCCTGAACAAGCCAATCAGTGTAGCCATTTCTTGTAGTACTGTGTAGGTAATCAGCACTGTGATTGACATGACCAATGAAGTCTTAAGAATCATCTCTAGGGTGGATTTTGCTCTGAATGAATTGGGGGAAGAAATCCCACTTAAGGAATACGGAGGGAATAGGGATTTTCCTATTGTGCCCTTTACCTTTCATGTTTAGGTAAATTTAGGTTATTTTTAAATGTGAGCAAAAAGAATAACTTACACTTTAGAAAGTCCTCCCTTGTTTGGGGTTCTTGTGGTAGGAGGATCTTCTCTGCAGTCACTAGAGAGATTATATGATGAGAGGTTATATGGGAATATGCAGACTTTTTCGCAAGGGATGGAAGACGTGTAGGATTATGTAAATCATGAGTGTTCTGTGAAGTATGTAGTCCGTTAGGCAGGACCCAGAGAGCAACATAGCACCACATACCAGATGTGGTCTGGATCTGGGCCGACACTATGTTGCTTTCTGGGGTCCCTCAAGGGCCCTGCAGAGTTTAACCCCAACATTAATCAAGCTCAGAAGCAACTTCTGGGAGTACTTGTTGCTTTTGGATGGATGGAAATTAAGACCACAAAGATCTAGTAGTCCCATACTTTGAAGCCTGTAGAGTTCAAGCAGTCTTGGTGGATTTTTCAGGTACATTTATGCATTTGGCAGATGCTTTTATCCAAAGTGACTTGCATTGCATTTCAAGGTGCACGTTTTTACATTCATATCAGTTCTTGCTCTCCCTGGGAATTGAACCCATGACCTTGGCGTTGCAAGCGCCAATGTTCTACTGTTTGAGCTACAGGAAAGTTGGAGCTAAACTCTGGAGGAGTGGAGGAAACAATGGCTAGAGTTGCCCATCACTGCACTGAAGGGACATGGATGATGAAAACGAGATGAAGAGGAAAAGGTACATTTCAATACTTTTGCTTTCCCCTGAGAAACTTATTGAGGTCACTCGCAATCATTTGCATTTCCCTGAGAAACTTTGTGTACGTTTTTATGGGGGAACGCAAAACTTTTGTGAGGGAATGCATATGCATTGAAATATAATTTCCGTAAGGTACAGATGCTGAACCACACACTTAAAAATAAAGGTTCCAAATGTGTGTTTTGTAGTAATATAGGACCATTTTCAACCTTTGAAAAGATACTGGGGGACGGTTCTTAAACTAAGCATTTTTTCTTGTACTTGGAATGTTTCATGGATGTGCTTCATGGATCTGTTGATGACAAATAGAAACCTTTATTTTTAAGAGTATAGTTATACACTACTTTTGACAGTCCACCTACCAACTGTTATTATACAGATACTAAATTCCACCAATTCTTAGGCCAGTGACTGGCTGCTATCCAACTTCTGGGAGTACTTTAAGACCACAAAGATCTAGTAGTAGTCCCATACTTTGAATTAAAACGGACCACATATGTGGAGTAAATATTTTCATAAAACATTAGTTTTTACCTGCTGAGAATATCCTGGTCATTTCCAGCCTCCACGTGTCCTCTATTTGTGCTGTTAATGAGGAGAGGGACTTGATCACTTCTCCAAAGGAGAACTGTGGATTAGTGGTTAGGTTGGGAAAGTCGGTACACTGCGAAGTCGGCCAGCGAGATTCGACCTCCTACGAGATTTGGAGACAATCACGAGTTGGTGCTACAACAGATTGAGCATTAGTCCTTTGGTTTCTAAACTGATTGCTCGTCACAGGAATCAAGCAAGCAACCCTTGTACCTCATGTAGAGCCCAGTTCCAATTAGTTGAAAGACTGATAATATTGATTCCTTTTGTTGATCATATATAATTCATGCTTCATTTTAAGACTAATGTATTTCTGTCCCGGATTGCGTAAAGCACCTTATGTTTTTCCCTTAAGTATGAGACTAGACCCTCAGCTAAGGGGATGACTGAAGGGTGTTGGATACAATCCCTTAAACGGTTGTCTTAGTGTTTCAAGACAGCGACCCAGGTTTGACATTATAAAATATGATTGCTGCCATGGACACGTTATTTGTTAATACAGATAGCGGTTCGTTTTACACATAGACTAAAAAATATGGACAAAGCGTCTGTGACGTCACCCATAGACTCTCTGAAGAATGGGTTTGAGGCTGTTTATGGAGGTATGGGCGGCGCCATACTGGAAAATCTTGAGAAATACAAAATACAAAAGTTTCAGAAAGGATACAGAGGTGGTATGATGTGTTGTCAGATCATGGCCGAGACGTCAAATTCACTTGGTGCGGCCCGTTATCAGCTGTCAATCAAAGTTAACCGCCCTTATTTGTCATACATTTTATATCTAAATATGATCTAAACTAACGAGTTAGAAAAAAAATTCACCCCCCTCACAGTTGTAAGGCATGCGGAACATATTGAAGATTACAATAAAAGTCCATGGGACCAAACTGTAAACATATGAATTTATGCTGTGAAAACGGATATTTTAACATAACGTCTATGGATATTTGCTCCCTTTTCGACCGGCCCTCTAGTGGATTTGAGATGTATTGCAGTTTTATCGCACTTCGGGGTAGGCTTCATCTTTCAGATTAGAATGTTGCCGCTTGGTTTTACAGAAATCCGCACAACATAGAGAAGGAAAACAAAATACGAAATAAGATATTTAGAAACAAATAAAGATATTTGTAATATTCACTATGAAAAGTACAGTTAAGCGGCTTTATTTATTCAACAAAAATGGATATTTAAGGGAAATTCTTAGGGTGTATGACGCTTCACCTAAAGAACCTCTTAAGGGTTATTTTTTGCAACACCCTTAAGTTCGGTTCTAAGCACGTTCTTAAAGGTACACGGTGTAGTTTTTATTGGCGAAAATCAATGTCTTCTTCATTGGTGTAAAATAACCTCTTCCAAAGATCTGACTTATCTTCGTACGCAAAGAATTTCTTATCTTTAGTTACATGGGACTGGTAAGTCCATGGAGGCTTCCGTGTCGTTCTATAATAGCAGAGAGGGACGCAAAGCATTAGCCTACCTAAACAAGTTTCCACATCACGTTTGCGTTCAGAGCCAGCATCACGTGACTGAAACGGACAAGGAGATCAGATAATGCAGGATCATACTTACGCCGAAGGAATCCTGGAGGAAGGAAACGTGACTGGCGAATTAAAAAAACAAGGGTAAATATCAGGATGGCTTTTCAGGAAAGCTAATGAAGGAGAAAGATTTTGAAGTTGCCGGCTTTCTTCTCGACAGGTAAGTCAATGTTATGGTCTATATTACACTTTTTTTGTCATTATATCGGCAGCATAACAGTAGAACATGAATAGTTAAACTCTATTAAGTGCTATTGGAAGACTATTGCTATTGGCAATGTAAGTGCTATTGGCCACCGTAGTTGAAACAGCCATTGCGTCTGTTATAGAATATATCAATGGCGCATTCATTTTAAAAGAGGAACCAAGAACCGCGATCCGCGATGTTTTTGCCGTCCTTCCTACGGGATTCAACATGTCCCACACTCTGTTGCTCTGATTAGTTGTAGGTCTATCCAAGTAAGTGCAGAGGCATTTCTTTCCTAGTTCGGTTGAAACCACCCAGACAGCAATTTGACATTGAATCAACACGGAAACGATCGAAACAACGTTGATCTGGCATTGTTTTGCTCATCGAATTAACGTTGAACCAACGTCAGACGCGCCATTCTTCAAAGCTAAATGAAAATCGACACAATTGGTTTGCTTTCCTAACGTTGAAACAACGTTGACTTCAAGTTGATTTTCCTTTAGTTTTGAAGAATGCCGCGTCTGACGTTGGTTCAACGTTAATTCGATGAGCAAAACAATGCCAGATCGACGTTGTTTGGATGTCATGTTTCCACGTTGATTCAATGTCAGTTTGCTAACTTGAAACACGCTCTATAATAACAGCCCAATGAAGCACTATCAGACTCACATGCTGACTAGCATCTGAGTATGACGACGTCAGGCTAACACAGTGTACCTAAAGGAAAATTCCACTTAAGGTGCTTTACGCAACCGGGCACTGGTCCTGGAGGGCCAACGTCCTGCAGAGTTCAGCTCCAACTTTTACCAACACGCATGCCTAGATTAGATTGCGGTAATCCTGAAGACCTTGATTGGTTCAGGTGAGGTTAGAGCTCAACTGTGCCGGACAGTGGCCATCCCGGAGCCGGATTGGACACCCCTGTGTTACCTGGAGGAAATAAATGTGATCATCAGTGTGTGAGAGCTGCTCCAGCTCGGACTGTTTCATCCTCAGCTTTGAGATCTCCTGTTCCAGACCTTCCGAATGTCCCTGAATTCGGTCCAACTCCGTGGACATCTGAGTTTGGACCAGCATAATCGTCTCTTTGTGGCTTTTCCGTATAAAGCCAAGCAACTCGGTAAAGATCCTGTCACATTCCTCCTCTGTGGCTTGAGTCAGGTTCTGTTAGGGGACAGATAGTCAGATGTACTTAAGCATTTATTTGGTTGTTCGTGTGTGAAAGTCAAGTGGCCACCTTTCGATTTCTCGCTTGAAACCAAAACGAAAGTGACTTAAACTGCAGTTCATCGAATGGCCACTAGAGACCGGCTGCAAAAGAGAGTCAATCCCATAGACCCCCATCTTAAAAGTCAAGGCTTAATTATAGTTTCTGCCAATTAATCTGAGATAAAAGAAAGAGTTTGAGCCACGGACGGACTTACCCTGAGGGAACCTGCCGACTTCTGGATTTCTTTCAGCTCAGTCACTCGATCCGTAACGATCTGCACGGACTTTTCCAGCTGCCTCTGGGAATCATTGGACAACAAGATTCAAGACCATGGGTGTGTCTCAATCAGCTCTCTGGGTTGTGAATTGTTGTATAATGTACACTTATTCGTACACTGGTTAGGACGCTGGCTGATTTCTCTTTCCGGCAACGTGCCAACGTCATTACCTCACTGTGAATATTGTTCGTAATTTTAACAGTAAAAGACTGTTTAAGTCGCCTTGGATAAAAGTGTCTGCTAAATGACTAAATGTAAATGCAACAGAAAAAACATGTTAATTGGTTAATGGTATATGTGGATCTCACGGGATGTTTCATTTAATTTTACAGTAAAATACTGTTATATGTACAGATTTTGGTTAAAAAAAATACGGTAGTAATATTATAATAGTAATAATATAAGTTTACGGTAAATCAACTGGCAGCTGTGGTTGCAAGTGCTTTACTGTAAAAAATACAGTAATATTTTAGGTTTTATAGCATTGAACTTCAATTTACAGTAAAAAAGGAAAAAAGGCTGCTGTGTTTACACGTGCTTCACCGTTATCAGTGTTTGCTTTAATTTGACCCTTCACTTCCTAACAGTGGAGTTTCTGTCTGCTGTAAATGTTTCTAAAACATTCGTTATTACAAGGAAAGTTAAGAGAAAATGTGATGTTGGCTACATATTGTTGATGACCTGATCATCATGTAGTGGCCTGATTCACTGATCTCATATTAAGTCTTGTCTTTGATTATATAAGGAATGTTTAATAATTTTCACGTTATTGATTATATTATCTGTGAACGCATGAGAGCCGACAGCGAACTCTGTTTAAACTCTGTTTGCCACTAGTATTATTATGGTGGTCATCAGTTGTTTTTTTGTTTTGTTTTGAATTTTTTAAATGTACGGTTAGATCTATATTTTTTCACCGTATCCACAAGTTTCCGAGGGGCGCTCCTGTAAAAAATAAAGTGGGTGAAACTTCCGGTGAGGCGGCGGAAGTAGCATTCCAATGGTATTTTGTGTGTTAGTTAGCGAAGAGGCTAGCTGTTTTTCGGAGAATTATTTTACTATTTAAAGACGCAAATCTTTATGAGAGATGTCGTTACGGAGCTCATGGACAACATGTGCTGTTCGCGGTTGTATGTATAACCGGACTAAACTAGTTCAGTGGCTTAAACGTGATTGTTTTGAACATAAGCTGAAAACGAAATCAGAGTGATCCTGCCAACGACTGTAGTTTCCATCACCTCCCAAAAGACGACGAATCTTCCTGTGTACATTTGTTTAAATTCTTAATATTCTATAAACTTTTATCAGCATGTGTTTGGCTGTTCTCTATGTTGCACCTAAACTCAGGATCAAAGCCTGTGTTGACAGAATACCAAATGTGCCAGTAATGTATTCAAGTAGCACATTCATTTATAATTTTGAATAAACTCCAAAGCACAATGACTAAGTGTGTATTTTTTATTTTAATTGTTTGCCAGCTCACACAACTGTCTGTCACCACGCCTTGATGAGTATTGATTATTAATAATGTTATTATAATACTCCCAATCAACTACTGTGGAGGGTAAAGGTACTGTTATTTCACCTTTTTTAATTTCGTTGAGGTTGTGTTCCCACATCGTTAGCTAGTTTGGATCGCTATAACTTGAATGACTGTCAACTGTTGAATGAACGAGTGTCAAGCATGTCAAATCGTGCTTTGTTTACTTCCAACCGGAAGTCGCGCCCACTTTTGACGCAAGGCCTCATGGGGCGTAGGAAACTTGTGGATACAGTATGAAAACTTTCTGTTAACCAATTAACAGTTTCTCACAGTACCATTTTTCTTTTTCACTTCCAAAAACTGTAAATTTAATGGTATTTTACTGTAAAATAACATTATACGGTTAGATCTAGATTAACCGTTTTTCGCGTGAAAACGTTCCGTTAACCAAATAACAGTTTTTACCGATAAAATCATGATTTTTTTTACAGTGTACTGTGATAATCAAAAAGACATCAGCTGCTTTTAAGTGTCATCGTAACATGATGTCCCCGATAACTGTCTGTCTAATCATAAATCATCAGACTCACACACACACACACTTTACCTGTTTGTCAGCTCGCTCTGTCGCCACACACACCATATCATGTCCTTTGTGTTTCACATCAAGCATGCAAAAACAGCAGATGCACTGACCATCAGTGCGACAGTAAACCTCCAAGAGCCTCTGGTGTTCACCGCACATCTTCTCCAGGAGGTTTCCAGTGACGTCCACCAGTAAGTGTGTATTCCCAGCACTCAAGTCATTGTGCATCTGAAGGTGAGTTTCGCAGTACGACGCCAAACACACCAGACAAGTCTTGATGGCTTTCTCCTCCCTACCAGTGCAGGAGTCGCACGTCTGAAATCCCATCTTTCCCAGTTCCCCTGCAACCGAATCTACGGATTCATCCGGATCTGTCCCGCACCGATGAAAGGTGTTTTCCTTCAGGTCCTGGAGGCAAATCGAGCACATGTGTGTGTTCTTATCATCTGCCATTTGCATGGACGACAAGGAGCTCTGTGTTAAAGAGACAAACACTTTCGTTTTCGTTTCTTTTCCTTATGCCTAATTATAGGTGGGACGCTCTGATGTGTGTGTGGCCACAGATAAAGAGAGACAGAACTCATGTGAAACCTAATTCAGAGAGACAGATGGTTGCGTGCTACTGTAGATAAATGAAATAACTCGGAGTGACCAGAAAAACCAGTCAAAGAGGACAGAACGCTCTGTCATGTGGATTTCTAAAATATTTTCATGTTGCAACTTGCCTCTCATCAGTGTGTGTGTGTTTGCATGCATATCGAGGTGGATTGAGGTTAAAGACATTGTGAACTCTTGGTTTGTTGTCGCTTTTATAGGTTTTTTCTCTCAGTGAGTGTTTTTTTTTTATAAGGTTTATGTGGACAGAGTCCAGTTGCCGTGAGCTTGTCAAACCAACACAGTCTCATGAAGATGCGTATCTATACAACGAATGTCATTTCTCGTGGCATTTATATGCCAAAAACGGTTTTTGCGTCTATATGGTACGCACTAAAAAACCCTGGGTTAGGTTTAGGGGGGAGGGGGGTGGGGAGTTCGTGCGTATTTTACGCCAAAAAATGCGTATCATATGCACGCGAAAAACGCGTGCCATATACACGCAAAAACAGTTTTTGGCGTATAAATGACACGAGAAATGACATTTGTGCTGTAGATACGAACTTTCATGTGTAAGAGAGACAATAAACCGTGTTAAGAGAGACAATAAACCCGTATATAGGAAGAGCCAATGGGTTGTTGTATAATTGAATACCTTTTGTTTCGTAATTTTATTTTAGGTGTTCTGGCATGATTTTTTGGTTCATGTAATTTCTCAGTGAAATTAAACCGAATCAATAGTAATTAAACTGTATTAAGTGCACTGTAAAAAATATTGTTGGTTTAACTTAAAAAAGTAAGTAACCTGGTTGCCTTAAAATTTTAAGTTGATTGAACTGGAAAAAGTGAGTTAAAACAATGAAGGAGAATGATTTAATCATCAGAAACTCAAAATTATATGTTATCTGAACTAAATAAATTATTTAAGTTGATTTGACAAAAGAAAAAAATGTTGTGATTTTCACTGTAAAAAATATTGTTAGTTTAACTTAAAAAAGTAAGTAACCTGGGCTGCCTTAAAATTTTAAGTTGATTGAACTGGAAAAAGTGAGTTCATGCAATGAAGGAGATTCATTTAATCATCAGAAACTCAAAATAATAAGTTATCTGAACTAAATAAATTATTATAAAGTTGATTTGACAAAAGAAAATATGTTGTGATAAGAAATCTTGATTTTTTTTTTTTACATTGATAGTAATTTTCCCCATAAAGTCTTGTTTCAAAGGCTTATAATATGCTGTGTTGTTACGATGTGCATGTGTAGGCTAAATAAAGCAGAAGTTACCTAAATAAATGACGAATTGACAACTTTTGTTTCTAACATCAAGACTTGTGTAATTTGTACGCTGTGAAAGAAAACTTGATGCCTTAATTTTAAGTACAATCAACTTATATATTTAAGTAATTTCAACTTAAATCACAATAAACTGACTTAAAAATGAGTTGCTTCTTGTATAAAATCGAATATAAAATCGAATATAAAAAACTTATTTTGATGAGTGAAAGCAATGTAAAAAATGTTGTGATAACAAATTGATCATGTCATGTTTTTACAGCGTGTGTTTTGAGATGACGTAACCGGTCACCATTTCTTTTAAAGTTTTCACCACTTCATCTAAACTTCTTCACCATCCCCTTTTCACTTCGTTTTTAAATTATCCCTCTTAGTTTGTCCTGAGTTAATAAGTTTAGCTCACAAGTACAATTCAGTCAGTGTGCCTGAATAATTGCCTGTCTACAAATCAGGGCCCGTATCTCTAAAGAATTTTTGTGCAAAAAGTGACACCTAGTGGCCAAATTCTTAGAAAATTCTCAGAGTCATGACGTTTTCTTAGAATTTCCCCTAAAAGTGACACGAAAATCCCAGTTAATATAAAAGCTATTCCTCAAAATTCCTAGCGCTTAAAAGGGCTCCGAGATCTGCTAAGAGCAGGGAAGAGGAGTTCCCCTAATCAGCTGCACAAAATTTATTTTTTCCTTTTTTCTCCATTTTCTGTGTTTGTAGGATATTTGTTAACAAGCCTTCATGAATAGACCAGCCAGCCAGCAATCACAGACATTGATAAAAGCTGAGCCGTGTTACCCTCGTTAAGACCACACTGAGTTGTAACGTTGCAATTTGTACTTCATTGAGGACATTGCCTTGAGATAGGCCATCTTGTTTTCAATAGGGTCCATATGGGAGTGAACGTACAAAATATGCCAGCTAGGATATTAATATGAGCAAATAAGACACAAATCATTATTTGAACAGGGTGTAATAAGCTCAAGTTTTCACATAATGTTAACCCCTACAGCTTAGGCTATATTCATTTTCCAGATATTTTCTTGAATTTTCGTGAAATATTATTTACAATTACAGTCTGCATACGACTAGAGCGTGTAATTATGTTTATTGATTTGAGGGTACATGCTCATTATCACCAAAAGTTAATTTTCATCAAACTTGTAGGATCAACCAATCACGGCTTTTGAAATGATGACTCGTACCTGAAGCATATTTTCATCTTTAAAAAATATCAAATTATGGCTCGATTTAATGACATTTCACTGTAAAAAAAATATTGTTGGTTTAACTTAAAAAAGTAAGTAACCTGGTTGCCTTAAAATTTTAAGTTCATTGAACTGGAAAAAGTGAGTTAAAACAATGAAGGAGAATGATTTAATCATCAGAAACTCAAAATAATAAGTTATCTCAACTAAATAAATTATTATAAAGTTGATTTGACAAAAGAAAATATGTTGTGATAACAAATCCTAAAAATATTTTTTTTTTACATATGTGTGTGTGTGTGTAGCCTATGTATGTATGTAAATATGTACACTGTAGCCTATATATGAAGAGTTCAGATGCTAAAGCCTCTAAGTGCCATTGGAAATTTTCTTCTAAAATGATCAGTTTTATCAAGCTTATATATTCAAGTTCAGTGATTTCACTTAAATGACAATTAATAGGTAATCCTCATTGCAATTTAAGTGAAATTACTGAACTTAAATATACAAGCTTGATAAAAATCATCATTCTAGAAGAAAATTTCAAATGGCACTTAGAGGCTTTTGCATCTAAACTCTTCATATATTTTTTATTATAAATATCATAGTGATCATTAGTGTTCAAAAACATTTGAAAGAATCTTAGCATGTTAGTTAATTGCAGCTCACATTTAATTACCATACGATGGCATGGGTGTTTTTATGCGTCTATAACACTAGCATTAAAATACCACGAATGTATGAATGCACGAATACTGTACGTGATGAGTTGATCAGGTATGTTCAGAACCTGTTATCAGTGTAAAAAAGAACAGAACAGACTATCAACATGTGAAATCTCTCAGTGTGAAAAATATGAGTTTACATAAGTTTATCATCTTTTGACTCATTTAATTCCTTTTATAACTGACTGCATCATCTTTACATCTCTTAATTCCTTGGTAACACTTTAGTTAACTTTACACTCTCAGAAAAAAAAAGGTACAAAAGCTGTCACTGGGGCTGTACCTTTTCAAAAGGTACACTTTTGTACCCAAAGGCTGCATATTGGTACCTTAGCACCTAAAATGTACATATTAACACTTAAAATGTACATAGTATGACCTAAAATGGATATATTAGCTCCTGAAATGGACATATTAGCACCTAAAATGTACAGATTAACACTTAAAATGTACTTATTAGCACCTGAAATGTCCTTATTAACACATAAAATGTACATATTAGCACCTAAAACATATTGGCACCTAAAATGGACAAAAGTTTACCTTTTGAAAAGGTACAGCCCCAGTGACAGCTTTTGTACCTTTTTTTCTGAGAGTGTTACATGAACTAACCGTGAGAAATACATTTGTTACTGTATTTATTAATCTTTTATGTAAGTTAATAAAAATCCAGCTGTTCATTGTTTGTTCACAGAGCTTTAATGAATGTTAACAAAGACAACCTTTGATTTTAATAACGTAGCCTATAATTAAATGTTGAAATTAATATCAAAGATTAATAAATGCTGCAGAAGTATTATTCTTTCTTATTGAACCTTATTGTAAAATGTCACCAATTCCTTTTATAACTGTTTTCATTTTGAAAAAAAAAAAATGTGTATGTGTAGCTTGTAAAATGTTCATGAAACCTCATTCACATTTCGCACCGCGCACGCGCACACACACACACACACACACACACACACACACACACACACACACACACACACACACACACGCATAAAAGCAGCTGTGCACGCGTGAGCAGAGATAGTCTCCTCATCAGGTGAGTGTGTGTGAATGGGTTTTTCTCAACCTCGTAATCGATGATTATTCGGCATTTTTCCGCTGTTCGGATGAAAACGACCTCGATTGTTCTGGTCTGTGTTGATTTGTGAAGCCCGTGGAGGGATATTATTTCAACAAAGTTTTACATTATGTTTTGCTCAGATAATGAATGAACATATGATGAGAAATGACGTAAGTAGTTATTTAGCTCATCATAATAAGAAAATCATAATTCATAATTGAGCACTTCTTGTGTTGTTGACCCGCTTGCTCTAACGTTAGTCCTCAGTTGAGTCGCTGTATATTGAGTAACGCTGTTTTTATGTTTATATTTATGAGTTTGAGATTAGTATTCGCTAGTCTAATTAGTAAGGCGTTTAAAAAATAACATTGGTGCTCAAAAACCGTAATATTATTTACCATATTAATGTTGGTGTGAATGCCATGTGGCTTTTTCATAAATAATGTAGTGATCATGAGTGTCCAAAAACATTTCTGAAAGAATCTTATTAATTTCAGCTCACATTTAATTAGGCTACCTTATGACGGCAATACATGTCTATAACACTTGCATTAATATGCCATGTGTTTATGAATGCATGAATATGTAAGGAGTTGATCAGGTATGTTGAGAATCTGTTAAACTGTTATATAAGTTTATCATCTTTTTACTCATTTAAGTCCTTTTATTTAAAGCTCCAGTAAAGCTCCAGTAATGCTCCAGTATAGCTCCAGTATAGCTCCAGTAATGCT